TCCGCCCCTTGTCGCGTATGGAGTTTTAGTGGTTTGTGGATCTTACAGTTATTATGAGACACTTAAGTTTTGGTGATAAGGTTAAATTTATATGGAATAAAAATTTAAAAGATAAAAAATTACAACAATCGGTTTAAGAATATCAGAAGTATCAAAGTGACAGACGGTTATTCGAACTACTCATGTCACTCCTCATCTCCAACTTCTAGAAAAATCACACTTATAATTGTGAAATATCTTATCGGATATACTTACTTATCAACTATCCTGAAAAGTCAAAATATTAGTACTGAGACAGTTCAATCTAAGAAAAGTTCTGATCTTCGGGTTCCAAAGCTTTATTTACTATCAATTATTAAATGGAATCCAGCAACCAAATGGTAAACTTTCTAAGCCTTTAACAAAATAATCCAGAATAACATTGTCTCTCGTTTCTCAACCCTCGAAAAACTACATGTTGAACTATTTTTTTCAGTTTGATTTCAGAAAGTATTTCCCTTGTGATGTTATCAAGAAATATGTATCTTTTGTTCTTTGCGTGAAAAGTGTTTCTGAGAAAGATAGGGCTAATGTTTCTGAATTAATGAATATTTTACAAGAGATTTTTAACTTAACCTGAGAAAATAACAGTAACTTGCTTACGAATAAAGTCCTAACCTATTCTAGAAAAGCATTAGTAAGATACAGGAACAGCTAGGGCGTGATTTGTCTAGTATTTTGCTGAGTTAAAAAGGCTGAAGACTGTATGAATGGGGAGTTATATATATTGTCAAAGTTAAGCAACTTTGGGTGATGGTCATCAATCGAGCCCAGCCGAACATTCTAAGCAGCACGCCAATATTGTTTATCGCTCCTCCGTCGCCATCCTTCTTCACACACCCCTCTTTTCATTATTAGGGACTTCCTCTGGAAACTCTTTGAAAACAGACGTGATGTGTAGATTGTTCTTCGGCTCGGATGTTTACTTGCGTCGTCACCTTTGTTGGGAATAGCCTCTTTTGACCTCATTTCTGTTTATTTTTTCGGTCACAGTTATTCCGTCATCATCACCTCCATGCGAACCTGCATTTGTAGCTTCGAAATTGATGTTTCTAACATTTTTTACAGAGTTCACCGCCCCCTTCCCTGTCAGTAGCTCAGCAATTTTACGATGCTAAAACTTGGGTTTCGATACCTGTGGTGGGCAGAGTATAGATAGTCCATTGTGCTTAATCAGGCGCGCATTCTGGATTTTCCGGGGGGGGGGACTGTTCACCGTTGAAAATGTTTTATAAACACAATCAAATTAACACAATTTTTTTTCAGTTCTTAGATAAAGACCCGCCATATTATTGCACCACACAATGGATAAAGTCGGATACCATATACTATTGATATCACGAATATAAACACAGAGAATCGGATCATCACGCCCGATCTCAGCACATAGATCTATCGTCATGCCGTAATATGTTGTATTAGTAACATCTGTCATCAGAAATTAGTCATTATATATTTTTCTAGATCTCTGAAGAGGGGGGCGCTCGCCGCACTCCATAGTGGATACGCCACTGCTTAAATAAAACTAAACCAAACCAGAGTTAAGTACGAATGGAATAAGCATTTTTGAAGAAAAGTAGTGTATTCTCAATGACATTTCATTAGAACAGCTGATGCCCAGAAGTCAAGCTTCACCAAGTTATTGCTTCCACTAACCCTACAAAAGTCACCACATCTTCACAAGAACCTCCCATTTCTGGATTGCTCTACATCATTAAAGTCATCATAAAATAAGATGTATTCTGACAAATTTGCCGAAGATACAACAAATTCCCAGATTTAGCTACCTAAGATCAGTTTACCAAAAGTGCTCTGCTTAATTAATAATATTAACTTCCGATCGGAGGAAGCTACGTACTTAAAACGAAACTAAAAATAAACCTAGCCATTAGTATTGCTAATTAACTACTTATAAAAATTAGCATGTTTGTTCATTTATTGTAAAGCATCGAGCTACACAATGGGCTATCTGCGCTGTGCTCACCACGAGTATCGAAACCAGATTTTTCGCTGAGCCATTGGGGAGGGGGCAGATTAGAATACACTGTTTCATTAGTTGGGTACCATCGTTGTTGTTTTTTTTTTTTGTAATTAAGTACATAGCTACACAATGGGCTATCTATGTTGTACCCACTATGGATATCGAAACCCAATTTTTAGCGTTATAAGTCCACAAACTTACCGCTGAGCCACTAGGGAGGGCACCATCGTTGTTAACGATATCGTTAAGAGTACGACTTGGAAACCACATACGTAAGTTATACATTTTAGTTATGTTTTTTACATGAAAATGACAAAATAATTATATCATTTAACATTTAATTAAAATAAAATATTTGAACAAGAAATACGAAATTTATTTAGCCATTCTATTTACCTTTCCTACACGAAAATGAATGAAAAGTTATAAATCTTATATTATTTTCAAGAAAGGACTTGAAAAAAGTAAAACGAAAATTGTATAACAGCTTCACTTCTGTTTTTTATATACGAAAATGACCAAAAAGTTATCAACTGGTTCATTTAGTGGTATAGAAATGTTCAATAGTGGATTCTCAGCAGTCAAATTTGATAAGTTTGAGGTCACGAGTGTAATACTTAAATCATTAGATGTTAAAAAAACTAGTTTTACATATTCTGTAAATTGTTGGTTATAGAGTGAATTAGTGTTCATTTTATAGAAAAACGAATTCTTGCTGGGTCTGATGAACGTGGCTTCCAATCTGTCCTATATTGTAGAAAACGTAATTTATTTATTTTTTTATCAAGTGATGTATTTTACCTTTAACTGACACTTTGGTCAGGGGAACTGTAGTACTTTCAGACAGTGCTTATTTTCCCTGGTTGACAGATAGGTCCACAGAATAACAAGAGATTAGTGAATATATTTACTGCGAAATAATTCTCTATTTCCCAACTGAGCTCATGATAAATAGTGATTTAACACAAATGTATAATCACAATAAACAATATTTATTTAAACTAACATAGTAAAATATACTTTAATTGCCACAACGAACAATCGCCTTTATTGGATAGCTCATTTAGGTTATTTTTAACTTGCTATGTGATGTTGAGATCCTGTTTCAGATTGAATAAATCTCACGCTAGTTACTTAACTCATTAATTTCAGATATACATAGAGCAACTAGTATTTCTCAGGAAAGTTGTTTTTGTACAAACTTACACTACGGATATCTATAATAACTGTTCCCAATTTTGAAGTGATAGGCTAGAGGTAAAGAAGCAAGTCAATACCCCCCATTTCCTACTTTTACCAGACTGAATAAATTTGACTATCTCTCTTATAATGCACCCATGGCCCTGACCTGTGCAGCAGGATTTTTTTGTGGGTGGGGGGCGATGATAGAACACAAACCACAGTATCCCAGTTCACTACCACTGGGCTGCATTTGGCTTAACTATTTCGATGTTCTGCTACAAGCTCTTATTTATATCATTTCCTATCTGTTCCTCACAAATTATTCTGCCATTTGCCTATCCGTAGCCAAAAGAGCACTAAACATGATATTTTTTAACATGAGCATCATATACATGCTAGATTTTATAATAGCCAACGCCACATAAGATGATATAATTGTTAATTATAATTTGCCTAAACTTGACATACACATGTGTATTAAAAGTATCTTTACATCTAGCTCCATCTAGTCACCATCAATGCCATGCTTCCTATACCCTAACAACCCAAAATTAACCAACCTTAATTTGACAGGGAAGGTACGTTTCATCTAAAACAATGAAGTGAGTTTTCGTGAGAGACAAAAAGGGCTGTAAGAAGACCTTAAGGATGAAAATGGCTTCTGTGATTAACTGGACTGATTAGGGAACGGGTTTACAGTAAAATTAGAACTAGTTTAGGAGAAAAATTTGCGGTTTTATTTTTCGTTTAGATAAAAACACTATTAAAGCATGTATTTTGTATAACTGACAGTGTTTTTTAAGGTATTAATTCTGGATGTTCATTTCATCAAGAGTGGCTGGTTATAGACAAAGTAATAAACCTTGTTAATTTGGTGATGGAATGGGTTTCTGAAACAGTCAGCAAGAGGCTCTTGTAATCATATGCAAATGGTTAAGTACTTTTACTGATATAAATTGGTAGAATTTGATATAAGTTCGTTATTTATAGCGATATTTAGCAGTTTGTTTGCCAAACAAACATATTATACCAAATACACATCAAACAGGCACACAGATTGGCCCTGTGGTAAATTGTTTATTTTAAGGCAAGTTACACAAAGGACTATCCACACACTGTTCACCAGTAAGAACTGAGCCACAGATATGAACACTGTAAGGCTGAAACTAATCTATCTTCGAGCACCATGGATGTTGACTTTTCAACAGCCGACATCATAATGCCAACTGTCGATTTGTTATCATCAAAATTTCTGTCAGAATTCGAGTTCATCTTCTTGAGTTAATTTCAATATGAAAGTTAGATAGAGTTTAGAAAGTTAATTCCCACTCAAGAAACAATAATCTTCTATCATAATCAGAATAAATTTCTGTAATTAGACAATTTATCACATATTAGTAGAAGTAGCTTTGTACTAAGAAAGTACTGATCATCACAGACAATTATCCCTAGTAATGATTTAGGTAACACTGCTCAGACCCTGCTCTGGAGATTACCCAAAGACAAAGTTTTATAAATGTATGACTATATCCTGTTACTTGAATAAAACCAGGAATAAAAAAAAAAAAAAATTGTACCTTTCCAAATTCACTAGTTAAAGAAGAGTAATGGAAAAAAATATCCCGACACTGAGAAAACCGTTTCTCTGAAATATACAGTTCTTTGATTCCATGCTTATGTTCTTAGCATACTTTCTAACAGCTGTACATGGTCTCCAAAATACACAAAACACAACAGACTGTTAATGACATGTTAGATAATATAACAGATATTTGAAACTATAAACATTTTGCTTTAATCATTTCTTTATTTCAATAATACCTACATGGGGTTTAACACACAAACAGAGGTTTTATTGAGAGATGAGGTTCCACTTATGAAGGATGATGCAAAAGTGAGTATGATAAAGATGATGTTTAGGGTCTGTGTAAAATACAAGAACCACTAATTCACATTGCATACAACCAATATACAAATCTATATTAATTAACGGGTTCATATTAAAAAAACACATGAGTACATAATTAATTTAGACTCCCATAATACGTTTGGGGTATATGGGGGATGTTTTCTGAGGGCTAGGACCTTTGATTGACCTGCCTGTTGCACACCTATGTTAATATGGATGTGAGTGGGATCACTGGTGCTTCACTTATGGCTCCAAGTAGTTGGTTGTGCATGCCAGTGGCCATACCCCAGTATCTCCACTTGACAGTGGTGCAAAACTAAGTGAGGGGAACCAGTTCGATGGCAACGTAGTTTGGGGATATCACCCCTTAAGTCCATGAAGGCTGGATACATCAAAGTAGGTGAAAGATTCCAACTACTTAAAGGAACAATGGCTCTCAAGGCAGATGACAGGTGCGTGACACATCTAGGGCACAGTCTTGAAGTTTAGAAGGATGAGTGGTCAGTCACCTGTGAAGAGTCTGTGACCTCGCACAGTATACAGCCTAAAGATAGTCAATGTAAAGCCATGATACGTTGAGTAGAAGTAGATACAGAGAAGGCTGGTCGCCTGTCGCCAATTCTGTTATAAATAACGACAGGGAAGAAGAAGTTATTGCTCAGAGAGGTAGTCTAAAAAATGACGAGGCTGATTTAAATTCAGTTGAGAGGTCAGCATCTGAAATTGTTACATTCAATGGTAGAGATTGTTTCGTAAAGACAGGAACATGGAAAATCAGAACACTTTATCTAGCAGGTAAGCTTAATAACTGTATACAGGAAATGGACGGACTGGGAATGGGTCTAGCTGAAGTTAGATGGCTACAATTGGGACAGATGGATAGGAAGGATAACACAATATATTTTTCAGAAGGAGATAAATTCAGAAAAGAAGTTACCATCCTGATTAACAGAAAATATAAATGATCAGTGCAAGAGTACTGGCCAATCTCAGAGTCATCATGATCAAGATTGAGGGCCAGTCATTTGATTTGGTTTATGCTTCTACACAAGATCATAATGAGCAAGAAACAGAGATGTTCTATAATGATATACAGAAATGTTATGACTAATATTCATACTTATCCTGGTGCTGATGTAAATTTGGATCATAAACTGCTTGTGGCAAAAATCAAGCTTAACATCAAGATCTTAAAGAAAAATAAAATTCAAGAACAGTTGAACCTGAACAGACTTAAAGATGAAAATATTAGTAAAATCTGTGCTTTAGAGGTCAATAACAGATATGAGTTCAACATACAGGAGGAAATAGAACAAGTAGAGGATGTGAGTAAGAGAGACACAAAACCAAAGGAATAAAATGAATGAAAGCATCAAATATGCTCCAGAAAAAACAATTCCAAAACATATCAAGAGAAAACACAAAGGTTGGATGATGGATGACATACTACCGATGATGGTGGAGAGAAAAAAGAAGAAAAAACACTTCAGAATACAATAAAATTGGAAAGAAAATTAAGAAAGCATATACAGAAGCACAAGAAAAATGGTATAATGAGATGTGCGATGAGGTCTTAAAACTTGAGAAGAACCGAGATTAGAGCCATGCATCAAAAGGTGAAATCACTGATTGATAGAAAAATGGATATAAGGACAGATTGTGGATGCACCAAAGATAAGAATGGAAAATTCTGTTTGAAAGAAATGCAGTGGCCAGAAGATGGACAGAATATATAAGTGACTTGTATGATGACCCTAACTGTTGAGAACACAGTGATAGAGGGAGACACTAGTCCAAGCATTATGAAGGTGTTATATGCACTAAAAATGATGAAAATTGGGAAAGCATCAGGTATTGATGAAGTAACATCTGAAGGCCCTGGATGAGTCAGAGATAAAGATTGTAATAAGTTTATGTGACAAAATCTAAAGATCTGGTTATATACCTAGTAATTTAAGTCACTCTTTATTTATAAAGTTACCAAAAAAGCAAAACGTAAAAGAAAGTAGTAAAAACAGAATGATAAGCATGATGAGTCATCTCATGAAAGTAATGCTGACAAAGAGAAATATGATCATATTAGAGGCAGAAATAAGTGACACTCAGTCAGGATTTAGGCCAGGTACAGATTGATCTTTGATAAATACTTGGAAGTGAGCAAGAGATATGCTTCACTGATTATGAGAAGGCTTTTAACAGGATGTGCCATCAAAGTATAATACATGTGTTAACCAAGTGTGACGTAGACAGCAGAGATGTGAGACTTATCCAAAACCTGTACTGGGAGCAAAAAAACAAGTATTCGTCTAGAGGAAGGTCAGTCAGATACCTTCAGTGTTAAGCATGGTATAAGACAAGGTTGCATACTTTTGCCAAAAGCTATTCAATCTTCACACACAATGGATATTTAGAGAGACATATGAGCTTCCAGGAATAAGAATTGGAGAAGTTAATATAGTGGCACTGAGGTATGCTGATGATAGTACTATTGTCAAAGGAAGCATTACAAAGAATAATGGACTTAGTGAGTAGGAGAAATTTAGAGTACAGGTTGAGCATGAATATAAAGAAGACAAAAACCATGGTTATGAGGAGAGATGTAAATCAACATCAAAGTGTATGGTCACACACTAAAACAATTGGAAAAGTTTGTCTACTTGGGGCAACTAATAAATGAAGATGATAAATATGAAGCAGAAGTCAAGAGACAGACAGAAATTGCAGGAGCAAATTTCATCCATATGAAAGATGTATTAACCACAAGAAACTTATAAAATGTTACATACTATCCATTTTCCTGTATGCTGCAGGGACTTAGACACTAACCATAGAACTCTGGAACAAAATAGAAGCATTGGAAATGTGGATGCTTAGAAGAATGTTGAAAATATTATATATAGAATATAAAACAAACAAGGAAATATTTAAAATGGCCAAAACATTAAGTGTACACTAAAAGCAGACATCTAAAGAAAAAAAGTGTCAGTATTTTGGACATATTATCAGAACGAATGAGATTCAAAGAACTCTAATAGAGGGGAAGGTGGAAAGCTGTAGAAAGGGAGGTTAACCGTGGAGAAAAAGGGTCACAGATGTCATGGGGTGGTTGCAGTCCAGTTACTGTGATTGTGTGAGGAAGGCACAGGACAGATGAGCATGGTGAGTGTTGACAGCTAATCTCCTGGGTGGAGCAGCTACAAGCAGATGATGAACATGGTTAGTAACAACCTAATTAATGAGTAGACACTAACTACTTTATTATGTTCTCTCTCTACGGTGTTAATAAGAATCTATATATATTTAATTTTTCTTGAATTAAGTCATATTACCAAATCAAAACCTCAGCACCTTTTTACCATAAACACTTTTTAATGTAATTCTATACAACAATTTTGTAGAAGACAACTTAAATTATGACTTTTGTACATGTTAAATTACTCCAAAAAGGAAGAGGGTAATAGTATTGGGTTATATGCTAAAAGATATTCCACTGTCAAATTATTGTAATTTTTATGCTAACTGAAATATAAAAGCTTGAAACAAAATACGTGAAATAATGTGAAGTACTGATAAAAATGTATGTAGTGAAGTTCTTATGTTAATTTTATAAATTTGCAAGATTTTCTAAAGAGCATATTGATATAAAAATACTATATTACGTATTTTATCAAGAAATGAGTAAATACAGGTGCTTATTCAATACAAATGTATTTTGTTATTATTTATAGGAATTTGTATGAACATTTCTATTAGTTTTACATACACTGTTGTAAGGGATCAATTCAGGTACACAAAGTTAGTTTTTTTATGTTGCAATTTTTGAGACCTTTCTTCCTTAAGTAAAATAATTAGTCTTGCTCTATATGTATAATATTTATTTCTAGTCATAGAATTCTACAGAACTTCATATTACACTAGCATCTACAATAAAATTATTTTGCTTTCCAAACTCATCATATCAGTAACTCATGAAATTCCTTGAAAAATATTTGAAAAAAAAATCAACATAAAAAAACCCACCTTACCTTCTGATACACAATTAACCAGCTCATAAAAATGATTAAGCAGTCATAAGATTTGAAAATATGATTTTGAATATGAATTTATCTACTTCACATCAATTTATTAAGCATAAATAGCATTAAATGAAACACTTTTTTTTAAAGTTTTAATGCAAGGTGACATGTTATGTGCAAAATGGTCCAAATATCACATTATAAAATATTTTGCAAAAGTGATGAAAGCTTTCAGTTTGTCATTTCCAACCACTGTTAGATGAGTACACTATCTTTCTTGTAAAGTTTAAAAAATATCATTATGGTTGACAATACAATAAAATGCATTATAAAAAAAACTGTATAAAATATCACTTTTACATGATTCTTTGGTATATGAAAGTAATAAGTTGCATAATAATCATACATTAATGAATTAAATGCTATTTTGCACACAAGAAATAACTATGACAAAATATTCAAGGAAAAAATTGATAACTCTTTCTGAGGAATAAAAATCAACACTACATCTGATTAACAATAAAAATCAACACTACATCTGATTAACAATAAAAATTTGAACATATTTGATAAAATGTTTCAATTATTTATTCCTGTGATTATTAGAATAATTATGTAACTTAATTTTTAATAAATTGTGATTAAAGGCAAAAATCCTGATTTTTTAAGAAAATATTTGTCACATTCTTATTTTCTAATATAAAATACAAATTTCTGATTACTAGAATTCAATTTTGCTGAACCATCATAAAAATAATAATTTAAAACAATTAAATAATGGATGAATTAACTGTACTTACTATTAGAAATTTATTCCTGTATACAGACAAGTTGCAGTTTGAATAAGTATATTAACTTCAAACATTAAGCTAGATTTACTCAGTAATGATTGTTTTTAATTCTGTATATCATTACAACGAGCTTTGAGTGTGGTTTACACTTGATCATTCATGTCAATGACAAATCACATGCCCCAAATTTACTGAACATATCTAACTGTACAGTTACAAGCTCATTTGTAACTAACTATGTGTTTGATTACAATTAAGATACTAATATAACAGTAACTTGTTTCACACATTTACACTATTAAATTGTGGTGTACTGTTACTACAGGATAGTTAATATAATAATTATAAGCTGAAATATTATGGTACATTAAAACTAAGATTTCATGAATATTTATTTCAATATATCACTCAACTTCCAAAGTGAAATGAAATGTCATCTTTTACAGAATATTATTTTATTCACATCCAATACATTGAAATCTCTCTTCAACTATATTTTTTACCTACAACATATATAATTTGGAATTAACAACTTTTAAACTACATCCAATCAATTTTTTGTATTTATTTATGGATCTTACAGGCAAAACACTACTACTACTACTACAGGTACATAGAACATTCACTATTACTTTCAAGTACTGGACTGCCTTAGTACGAGTACAATAAAATATGAAGGGTATTGCTATTAACACCATCTTGTACTTTATACTTAAGCTGTTTTACACTGTGAATTGAAATAAAAAATGTTTTCAAAGTTAATTCTGAAATATTACAACAGTACAAGTAAATTTAAAGAAACATCACATGTTTTTAAAACAATGCTATCTAAACATAAAACTATGCATTCAGTATATTAAATGAAATATAACAGCATTATTTTAACAAAATCTACTATATATGTGATATGTGTAGGTAAAACAAATTTATGACAATCAAACAAACAATTCAGTTCCTACAAGTAATATTATGATATATTTTATACAAATAGTAAAAAGAGCAGCAGTAGTAAAATGTGCTTCAGGAATACAGTGTTCCCACTTTCATAAATAAAAACTTTATTATATTTTCTGTAAAAGTATATAGTAAATTTTTTGGCATAAACATTTGAGTTCTATTAAAGAAACCCTACAAAGGAAACAATAAAACTGCTGCTACATTATATAGGTTATCAATGTGACAATAACAGTCTTCTTGTTTCAGCTGTCCTCTTAGCATAAAAAACAATATGCACTAACAAAACATATACGTAATGCAATTTAATTATTCAAATATGAAACACACTTTAATTTGTTACTGACACTTAGGAGAAGTCAACTTTTGTTGTAGCTTGTACATGTGAAATACCATAAGCTAAAAATGTGCCCATTATTACAAACTGTCAGCAGTGACTTGTGAAACATAGTACTTGATAGAATCACCTTCTGATTAAAAATTTGTCATAAGGTTTTAAAAATCTTGAGAATTCCTTTTGTTATACATAGAATAATCTTACATTTGAGGTGCTGACAAGGAGGTCATCATCAAAAAACTTGGTTTCTATTACTACATTGCCACTGAAATAAATAGAAAAATACTCTGTACAAAGACTAGCAAGTTAGAACATAAAAAGCTAATTTTGAAGAAACAAAGTCATAAATACAGAATAATAATAATGGTTAGCTTCTTTTATGATTGGGTACATATAAAGACATTATAGCAAACTGACACAGACAACAGATGAAAACAAAACTTTAAAATAACTAAATTCACAGAAGGCCAAAATATATAGTCCAGCAGCCAAGTGGGTATTTTTTGCTTACCCTTGCAAAAATACTCCCAGACCAGGTTATTATTGATTTTTGGTATGGGAAGTTGTATACATTCATAATCTGAATGATGCCCATATGGCATCCTTGAGCATTCAGATATTCAAGATGGCATCTAAGATGGCTCCCATAAACCAGAAACCCCATATATTTGTCAGTTTTAGCTGGACTTTTTATGTAATACCTGGATGGGTTATAAAGCACCTTGAGTGAATTTATATGCCTCAGATGATACATATTATAATAATAACTATAATAACGTATACTGTAGTTGCCCATTAGGTGCAGCTGTACTCACAGCATAGTTTTCTGTTTTTCAGATGTGATTCTATACCAAGTAATCTTACAAGATGAAGCATTCTGTGATGGATGGCTATTATTTCAAGCTTTTTAACAAGTGCACCAAAACAGTTGATGTTGAACTGTCATTGGCTGGGACAAATTGCATCAACTCCATAATAAAGGCACAGTTGAAGATGAACTGTCATTGGCTGGGACAAATTGCATCAACTCCATAATAAAGGCACAGTTGATGATGAACTGTCATTGGCTGGGACAAATTGCATCAACTCCATAATAAAGGCATAGTTGATGATAAATTGTCATTGGCTGGGACAAATTGCATCAACTCCATAATAACGGCACAGTTGATGATGAACTGTCATTGGCTGGGACAAATTGCATCAACTCCATAATATAAAGGCACAGTTGATGATGAATTGTCATTGGCTGGGACAAATTGCATCAACTCCATAATAAAGGCACAGTTGATGATGAACTGTCATTGGCTGTGACAAATTGCATTAACTCCATAATAAAGGCACAGTTGATGATGAATTGTCATTGGCTGGGACAAATTGCATCAACTCCATAATAAAGGCACAGTTGATGATGAACTGTCATTGGCTGTGACAAATTGCATTAACTCCATAATAAAGGCACAGTTGATGATGAACTGTCATTGGCTGTGACAAATTGCATTAACTCCATAATAAAGGCCAGTCATGAGTGTGGTGATGAGCTGTCATTGGCTGGGACAAATTGCATCAACTCCATAATATAAAGGCACAGTTGATGATGAACTGTCATTGGCTGGGACAAATTGCATTAACTCCATAATAAAGGCATAGTTGATGATGAACTGTCATTGGCTGGGACAAATTGCATTAACTCCATAAAAAGGCCAGTCATGAGTGTGGTGATGAGCTGTCAACTGATTTGGAGGTTGCAGCTGCTGCAGATGAACATTAGAAGATCTCCTGTCACAGGGAGTGTGTATCAACATACTGTTCTAAATATAAAATCAAGGTTCATTAAATCAAAAGAACAATCAGCAAGTGAACCTCCTCAACTTAAGAGAACCAGACTGAGTAGCAATATGTCTGAATTTTGCTTTCAAACTCAGTGTATATTCTGTGGTAAGGAGTGCAATGAAACTAATGATCCTAAAAATCCAAGTCATTGGCATCATGTTAGCTGTTGTCACATCATAAATCCAGGCAGAAAGTCATATTAACTGTATGCAACAAACAAAAATGATAAATGGGTGCTGCTGTTGCCCATTATCACAAGAATTGAAAGCCAGCATTTATGGCACCAAAAGCAGTTGAAAGTGCTCAAACTTCCAAGAAACCAGAAGATAATGATATAGAATTTAATGAAATCATTGGCACTATGGAATCAAACACAGACTGTTTAAGGTCATCAGTAGAACTACATAAGCTCTACACAGAGAAAAGTGGTGTAAATTTACAAAGATATGCATTGGTTGAGAAACTATCAAATTTCTTTGGTAACCGTATCTTAGTTCTGTCATGTAAAGGTTTAGCTAGTATGCTGGTGTTCAGATCTTGAGCTTCCCAATTGGTGACATATATGAGTAGACATACCCACAGAATGTGAGAGCATTTAGGCTGCTCACTGAAGAATTACTTCGTAAGTACATTGCTGATGTTAATACTTATGAGGAGATGGACACAGTGCTGACAGATGTGTTTATCATAAGTGACATAGCCAAGTTACGGGTACACTATTTCGTGCATCCCACTTTCATAATGATGGCCTTCATTCATACAGAATGAGAATCCGACTGTCCACTTCATTTATGGGCTGTGAGTCAAATGTTGCCAGACTTCTTTGCTTCAGCTCATGTAAATTACGTACATTATAGTTCGTACTACCTCAGGTCAATCAAATCACTCTCAGCAGAAGTGCAGTCCTCTTTTCTGAAGGGTGAGCACACAATAAGACATGCTCCTCGCACATCCAATTCTGTGTGGTCTGATATGTTTATAGAAACAACGTTCATGAGCTATGGACATAGTCAAGGTGGCTTGACTGGTATTATTTTGAATGATAATGCCATGAAGCAATGGGTTCTGAGTCTGCATATCTGCAGCCAAGTCATCCATGACATAACATATGTGCAAGATGATATGACCCATTGCAAAGAGGAATCAAAAGTGCATATTGAAGCTGACTCCTCTGACAGGAAGAAGTTACAAGAATAGCTAGAGCAGTGCATCAATCCATTGGACTCAGCAGGTCATCCCCCAACTTTGTTCAACATTGTGTTTGAAAAATTGACTGATGCATCTGTGAATGTCCAGAATGCTGTACAAGTTGGCATGGTCTGTATGGAAGCCTATGAGAACAGGTTACCCTGATTATTTCATGATAAAATAAGCAGTCCCGTGGTAACTATGACTACAAACAGGAAGGAAGCTACACTGGGAGTGACCATAATGTTTGACACTGAAGTCATATTCAACAGAACACTTGGGATAATAGGCTCAGGGGATTTTGACCTGCATGATTTGTTCTCACATGAGCTAGTGCCAGTTCCCACATCTCTGTTTTTAAATGATAGCAACACGCGACCAGCCTCTTCAAAATCAAAACTCAAGAACTTTCTTGAAGTTGAACAGTCATCTCAAACTTGGTGGTGCTTGATGGTTGTGCAACACTCTGGGCTATCCACTGGCCAATATCAGGCACATTTCTTGATTTGGTAAATGTAGTAGCAACATATGAACATACTAGACTAAGAAACAGTGATGTGCATCTCATTTTCGATAGATACTTTAACTACAGCCCAAAAGGATGCATTTGTGGACAAAGAACATCCATTACTGGCAACCACCCCCATCTTACTATGCCATCTGTGCTCCCACCACAATCCATCTCTCATACTATCACTGACACCAAAGAGCAAATTATTGATGTCACCTGTACCAGGTTGCCAATACACTTTCAGGATCTACCCTGTGACAATTTACTTGTCATCACCGGTCCTTCAAATTGCCATTGCTTCCACCTACATCAGAAGCCTTTGAGCTGCATGTGAGACCCACACATTACCAAGCACACTTATGGAGAGTAGCATTAGTGTCAGAGCCACCTCCACTAAGGCCAACAGATTATGGGTGGAAAGCAGATAATTCTACTCAAACCCTCATACTTGTTGGATTGCTTGCTAACATCCTGCCTGCACTGGCTATAGTTTTGAGGCTACTGTGTTGTCATGCAGTACTAATGAAGCTTGTGCAAGCTGAGGGTACTTATGTCATTGATCTGGCATGGCATGCAGCATATTTTGCAAGTGCTGCACCACAACTATAGCACACTGGAACAACCCAATTAATAAACATACTACAGTGGCTGATACAGCAAACAGCGACAATGAGGAAAACAAAGATGGATATGATGATGAATAGGAAATCAGACCAGTCTCTCAACAGTGATAGATAATGACAATAAAAGTTGTGGTCTTTTGGGTTACATTTGTCAGCATTTTAAACTTAGACGAATTTTAATTGATTTAGACTAATGTGATATGATTTTATAATTAGACTGGTTAGTAAAAGAAAGCATGAACTGTGTCATGTGTAACATGAGCACTTTTTTTATTTCAATAAAATCATGCTGGATGCCATATCGGATTTAAGTTGTAAAATTTAGCTGGATTGTAATATTATCCCTCTATATAGATTTTATGACCATAAAAACATTGGAAAAAAGAAAATCAAGCAAAAACCGATGAACTGCGTTTCCTTGTATATGTCGACTATCTTAGACGCCATCTTAAATATCTCGAAATGCTCAAAGATGCTAGCTGGGCATCATTCAGATTTGGATTCTACACTACTTCCCCTACCAAAATCAATAATAACCTAGTCTGTGGGTACTTTTGCAAGGTGTGCCTCCTGGCTGCTGGACTAATACAAAACAAACTGTATTATCAAAAAGCATATTAAAAAATAATGATAAACTATTAATTGATTGACTTAATATATTTTAGTTCTAAGTTCTCAATACCTATTAAAATCTTTTTTAGATAACTCAAATTTATGGACAATATTCTAAAAAATCTTAGTTTTGAATGGTAAGAACTTAATATTGTGACAGCTCTGTTTTCAGCCTACTGTGTGAACATACTCAAGAATAAATATGAATAACATCTTTGGTAACATGATTATATATGCAGAACAATGTACGTTAATGTTTTAAATGGGACATTATTTGGCTTTAGTAAACATTAAAATTTGATGTAATATGCAAACTAAATAAGAAAAATTAATTCAATAACTGATATCTAAGCATTGGTTTCCTGCAATATTTTTTAACAAAAGAGAGCTTTCTCAATAGTAATAACATTTTATTGAATAAATGTAATGTGCAGATTCTATAAGATAAAATGTATTCAATAGAAAATCTGGATCTGACACTAGTGATAAAATAGATGAAGCAAAGGGTTAGGGAGTGTTAAAGAAAACAAGAGGACATGCATTAACACAGAACTAACCAAATCCTAAAATTTTTTACTATACAGAAACAACTTTGATTCTTCTTATGCATACTTTACGTAAATGTTTACAATAACTTAAACATTGTACAATAAAACTAGACTAAAACTAATATTCT